GCAGATGTTCCCTGAAGAACCCAGCAGCACACAAATTGTACGGGGGAACCGAGAAGTCCACTACCAGTTTGGCCAACATGAAACCAGCAGAATAAAGCTGAAGAACAACCAGGGACAACAAGTCTGTTGTACAGCCACAGGCAAAACAAAACAAAAAAATGTAAATATTAGGTGTGTTCTGTAGTAAGAGGGTAGACCTTGCTGCTGCAAGTGTGTTCTGACTTCTGCCTGTAGAGAACTGCTGTAACGAAGTATGTCGATGTCATTTGTTAAATTAGAATGGAGATGCTGCACCTTTCTGTGTATTCAGAAAGGGAGAACCGGTGGTGAGCAAAATTGAAAGAGCAAATAACTTCAAAATGTGACATGCTCTGAACTGTTATCCCCTTGTAAAATAGTCTTCAAAATAAGAACAGCACTGTATAGTCACCACAAACCTTCCAGAGACTAGTTACCGAGTTACCTTTAGCAAGTGTGATAAGGCACAGAAATATCCAGACGTAAGGAGAACAGCTTCCAGCAGGTAGACAACAGTTCATCGGAGACCAGTGCTATTGCTTTCTCGGTTAAGATATTCCTGTTTCATGGTCTTGCTGATTCAGTTTCAGCAGAGAAGATTTGGGTCAACAGAGCTCCAAGATTAACGCAAAAAGACACTGAACAGAAGTTGTAATGCCATTTGGGAGCCTGTAGGTGCTTTCAACCCCATGAAATAAGACCCTGCTCAATAAACTAGAGACTTCACTGCCTCCACAGGGTATTGCAGTGATTCGTTATTGCTATTGCCCTGCCATGCTCTTCTCCTTCCCTACCAGGTTCCTCACCCACGTGGTTCTTCATCACATCTGCAAGATGGTACAGAGTCACATCAGCTAGAGTCAGTTCTTCCCAAAACTGGGAGGGTTTTAAGAGTCTGGAGCACCACAGAAGTGAGACTAAGTGGGCTAAAATCACATCACTCGGTACATGAAATACAAATCCAGGTCTGACGTCAAACAGATCCCAGCAATGGTACTTAAGCCCTTATCTAACATTTCAGTGCTGGGACTTTCTTGGTTGAGCTCAGTAAAGCAAAGACACTATTTCTGAGAGACACCTTTTTTTTCCAACTAAAAAAAGTCTTTCAACGTGGAAACTAAAGCTGCTCTCACCAACCTGTTAGTTTGCTAGAAGCAGTAAGACTTCATCACACAGGAAGATTTTGCAAGCAGAAGGGTTACTGTCACGTGCAGCTCTGCCTGCAATAGACCTGTCCATGCGTTCACGTTCTCAAATCATCTACAACCTTTCGTTTACTGCTAACAAAGTGGGCCTCTAATCTGACCTTGACTCTGTACTTAATGTTTATTGAGCCTAAAAATACTGAGCATAGCATAAAAAACACCCCAAATCTTCCTCTAATATGCCAAGTGCTAGATATGCCAGTCACAACACGATTTCTAGTTTCTACAGCTTTTTAGCAGTATTAAGAGCCAATGAAATAGCCAAGTGCCTTCTGCTGAGTACCTCAGAGCTTTCCACTGAGATGGCCTTTAAAACACACAGATATAAAAAACTACTGTTGCTGCAACACTGCTAAATTTTATACTGTGAAGCTCTGTTCCTAGAGGTAGGCTCCTACAGTGCACATGTAAGCATATCTATGTGTTTGTTATTCTCCCAAAAGCCTCTTTGTCTCTACAAAATATTTTACCAGAAACAGATTAAATACCGACTTCACAGAATTGCCCATCCCAGACCTACAACCAAATACTCTGCCTGCAGCACGAACTGCCAGCTCCTTCCCTGAGTGTATTTGCCAGTGCCCCACAGGCAGTGACCATTATATCCCAAGTGTCACCAACACATTAAGCATCAATCCATCCTAGGTCACTCTTCTACAGCCTCTGCAAGTCCCACTGAGGCAACGTCAACCCAAAGCCTGTGGTAGATAAATACTCAGCATGGCTGTGAAACATATCCTGGAAGATTTATCAATTACTGACTCTCTTGCCTGAATAAGAATTGATTACATTTGATCAGACGCCGCTAGACTTCAGTGAGCCTGTTGGCTTACAGTGATAAAGCCAGAAGATCGGTATTACAGACAATTTTACAATTACAATACAAAGTCCAATTAGGGGGATGTTTTGTAATCTACAACCTGTAATATCTTTCGCCCAATAGTAAATCAACTGTTGGTTTGCTCAAGATCACAGCTAGAGTGATGAGTTCCTGGAGCTTTACCTATAAACAGAGAGAAAAACCAACGGACTAAAAGCTGTTTGTCCAAAATGGACTGGCTTCCTACAGTTTTAACGTAATTAACAACTCTCAGGGAAAGCAAGCCTCAAACTACTTAACACTACTGCATTCAATGGTCTCCTTTTCATTTGCTTGGAGTTAGGCAGGATTCAGTACACCTGACAGCACAAAATTGCTCTGAGAAGGAAAAGGGCCTGACTCCTCCTTCCCTGGGAGGGAAGGCATCAGCTGGGCCCAAATTTTGCACCACTTAGAACCTAGCGGATAGCAGCACCAAAATTTGTTACACTGAGTGCAGAATTCTCATTAGGATGGATGTTGGGAGAGAACCCTCGCTACCATGGGAGAAGAGAGGCACATGAAAGATCATCTCCCCCCGTTCAGTGATACCAGGCTACACTTGCTGTTATCCCAAAAGACTTTTCACCAGATAATCAGAAGACCCACTGCTAACCACACACAGATGTGGTAAAGTCTGTCCGGTTACCAAATAATCACCTTTCTACTACAGAATGACTTTTAAAATCCCTTAAGGTTAAGTCAAGCACAAGAAGTATTTTCTAGTCTTATATTCAGCATACGCATTTCAATGACGGAGGAAGCCAAACCTCTCTGGTTCAAAACACACAAAGAAGCCCCTCTGCCTTTAACTGAACTGATGTTTTTTAAAAAAAGCAGATCAACTGCTACCATTTTCTAATTTGTTCCTAAAACTGGTGGGGCAAGAAATTGTGTCTTCAGAGTTCAAAAGAATAGATTGACAGCCTCACAGGTCCAAAAATATTTCACGCACAGTGTGGTTATGGTGGTGACCCACAGCCACCTCTGCTGCCTTGAGGAGCCAAGAACGAGGAGCCCAGAGCCCTGTATCATAATACATCCAGCCCCAGCGATGGGCTAGATTTGATGGGGAGCAGAGGGTAGCACTTAACAGTCACTGGCAGCCTAAGTCACCTTTTTATAGCCTAGAAAAAAAGAAAGGCTGTGAGGATTCCCACAGGGGGAGCGTATGCGTGAACTGTAGTGTTCATGCCTAACAGCCACCAGCTCAAAGGAAGATGGGTGGAAGCTGTTGCTTGGCTGAAGCACAACTACATGAGCTGGATTTAATTCACTGATGGTTTACAAAGACCCAAACAGACTTAACAAACTTATGTTTTCAGAGTCTGGAATTTAAACTGCCCAAGAAAACACATATTCATGCAGGCAAATAGTTACGTGTGCGACAGTCCCCCTATGCAGAAAAAGGGTTGAAGACTGGCAGTTACTTGTGCAGACACAACTCGTTAACTCAACTGGCCAGTTCCTCAGAGCTGTCTCCCGCGGGGCACTCTCCTTTCAACCTCCCCAGGTATGCACAGCCTTAACTTGCTGAAGAGCCACTGCCAAACCCCCAGGTTATACCGTGCTCGTTTTTCTCAGACAGTCTGTCGGAGCCAACACGAACTACACCGGTGCTGGCATGCCAACCGCTCGACAGCAGAGAGGCTTTGCTAGGTACTGCACGGCGCTAAGTGACTCCCTGACACATAGCAGCACTTAAGTCATCTTCTGACAGCTACTAGCCACCGCTGGTAACTTCAGCATGGGAGCTGGAAAACAGTCCAAAAAACCCCTCCTGCCCTGCTGCAATGTTCAGCTACCAAAGCAATGATTTAACAGTTATCTGTCAGCCAAAGACTGCACGTTAATGCAAATGTCGTTAACACCTAGGGAGATTAGAAACACTTTCATGGAGTTGCTAGATTAGTGTCGGCAAGCCTTTCCTTCTCATCCCCCCCGAGCCCTGTGGTTCTGGAAATCCAGAAAAAAAAAAACCAAACAGAACGCAAAGCATACTGCCCCTAGTATCTGTGTTGAGCATAGAGAGTAAACAAACAGAATCAATAGGAAAGGGAGATCAGCAAAAGTCTTTTCAGTTTTAACAAATTAAGAGTCTAAATAGTACAAATAAGTTTTTTAAATTACTTATCCCAATATAGACCTTTGTCAGTATTTTATTGCAGTAAAATTCTATTGCCAGGGCCCCTTATTGCAGCATCAGTTTTAAAGCCTATTGAGTGAAGCCTGTTCCAGGAAGAGTTCTGCTTCAAACCTGACGGCAGTCTGTGGTGACAACTTCACGCGAGCAGAACAGGACCCAGTGCACAGTTTGTGATGGTGAGCCGTCGCTGCAAGGAGATAATACCTTGCAAACTTCCTAAAGCAAGCGCAGCACCTATGCTTGCTTGTTGCTCAGGCCCTGTAAGTGCTGGATCCAGCTATATGGAAAAAACAGCTGTCCACTCTTGCGAACCCCGTGTGGGGGTTGATCTCCCCTCCAGGATATATGCATCACCCAAGAGTGAAAATTCAGGTCTGAACTGTCACCTTCCAGAAGCCTGGTGACTTACAGCAAGAGGCTCAGATGCAAAGATTTGAATTCAGATCCTTTCTTTGTTCCAAGGCATCTCATGACTTCCCGAGGACAGGGAGGCAGTGTACCATACCTTCTTCCCCGGGGAGCAAGACTAGGGTGACTCTTTTTACATCATACTGATGCACATCCCTTCCTCTCCCAAGAGCCTTGTACCACCTGCGTCAACCGCAATGGAAGTAATTGGCAGGGTAAAGTACGATTCAAGACGAACAAGGCCGCCGCAGTCAGGATGTCCATAACCAAATTCTCCCTTTGGAATGCAAACAACTTGGCCACTGCGATAGATCCAACCAGCCCACCTGCATCTTGTTTCCTCTGGAATGAGAAATAGATGAGACTAGGAAATTCGGCAGCACCCATGCACCTTCTCTTCCATTTCCTCCATGGGAGCTTTGAATTTCAAGAGGGGTGGGTCACCACTGGACACTGTGTAATACACTGAGGTCCCATTGGAGCTGTAAGGAGAAGTCCTGGATCCGATTAGGTGCGACTTGGCCTCACCCCCATTCTCAGCAACTCCTCCCATGCCGCTGCTGAAGTGGGTGCTGAGGAAAGGGTGATTGAGGAGTTTGGCTGCAGCCCGCTGCCGCTTAAGTTCGGAGAGCGTTTGATGGTTATGCTCCTTGTAGGCACCCCAGAACTGCTGCGTGTCAGGGAGCCCGGGGTTGCCGTAGGGCAGCATGTGGCCTGGGTTACTGTCAGGGTCAGCGTGCATACTCCAAATGTCCCCGTTGGAAAAGGTGTACTGGTAAGTGCTGGCAGATGCCATGAGTCCATTCTGGAGGGGGATTTCAGTGTCACACTGGGTGCTTTTGTTTGCTAACTCCGGAATGAGGGAAGAGTTCTCCAGCACCAAATTCTGTAACAAGAAGACATGAAAGAAGAGCATCTTCCCCTGTCCCCCATAGCACCGTTCATCCCTGTGACAACTTCCTAAGCCTGCTCACACTCAGCCTTTTCCACCAGACAGGTACTGCAGCACAAACATTGAATTCACTCACTAACAGGACCCTATAATGCTGTGAGCCCCAACCAGGAGCTGGTTCCCAACCAGGAACATGGAACGTTAACTCAGAAGGACTCGCACACAAAACAGCATAGATAGATAGGCATATTAATATAACATGAGAAAAACCCAACTAAAACCAAATAACTGCCAAGCAAGATTACAATTCTTTTGTGATTACCAGTTTGTTAGCTGTAAAGAGAAATGCACACACTATTTTTTCTGAACTTCTTGGTTCACTAGGGCCTTATCTCAAAACTATCTATGCAGTTGTAAATCCAAGGCAGTCTTTCCACTTGAGTGGGATATCCCAGTTTATGCCAAATGAGAATTTGGTCTTTTGCTTACATCTGATGGATGAGGTTTACAATTTTATCAGCCGCCTTCCATCCCAGGGCACCCATTGCTATTGAACCTGTGCTACCAGCCCTCCTTGGTGACTCCCATAATAAAGAAGAGATTTCTTACAGGGTCTGTATTCTCCTGATCAGATCGAGTCTCTCCGATTTCTCCAATGAGACCCGAGTTTCTTCCTTCTTCTGCCGCCCCCAGCTGCTGCCAGACGATGGCCTCTTTCTCACACTCCTTCCTGTAAAGGTTTGTTCGGTCGGAAAGGCTGGCCCTCCTCACCACCTTCCTGTGGGACAGGGAGAAAGGGCATCGAAGCGGTGAGCAGGACATGACATTTCCTCTTACCCTGTAGCTCTTCTCACCTCCTCATCACACTTCACAGCCTCCTTCCCACTGGAATGGAATGTGAATTTAACTTCCTGACACCCACGCAAAGCAAAGGCACTAGTGTGGATATTAAAGGTAGGAGGAATTTTAAGGAGATTTAAAGTAGTTCTGAAAATCTCCATTAGATCTCATACAGCTCACCTCATGGATCTACTCTGCAACCAGTGGAGTAAACGTAGGGGGAAATGGCCCATGGGCTGTTTAGGGAGTTTTGTGGTCTGCAGGACCTCTTATAAAGACCTGTGCAAACTGTGTCTGAGCACAGCATCTTGGCCGTGAGACACATTATTGAGAAGCTCAAGTTAACCCACTTGAAGCACTGATTCTCCCACACCAGTATCAATGGTTTAACAGGGTAAATTCTCACCACTTTGTCCTCGGCTCAGAGAAGTTCTTAAACCACACAGCGCAAAGCCATTTTCCCCCCAAGAAACACCACCTCTTTCTAGTGAAAGAACCACTCTTCAAAGGAGCTCTGCTTTCAACAACCAAAAGGCAGCTTCCGCCTTTCAGAGTCCATTCAGAAAGGACAGGTGGGTTGTTCTCCGCATGCCGACCACAGGGTGCTCTGCGACCACATCCAGGTGCCCAAGCTAGCACACGGAGTGACCCACAGGGAACAACGCACTTACCCCCGGCTGCCAGTGCTGGAGGTCCTTCGACTCAGGGAGGATTTATGCCTCATCTGAGACTTCATGATCACATCATGTTTGTGTTTCAACTCCAGAAGTAACACTTTGAATTCCTCCTCTTCACACAGATCTATGGCACAAATGAAGCCATTAATCTGACAGTTCAAATGTGGTACCATTAACATCATGTAACTAACTGTGCCTTCCCAGAATATACTGAACTACAAATGCTAGAAGGAAAAGAAGGGAAATTTAAGCAGAATATGCTTAGGCACATTAATCTCTAAACAAATTAGGGAGGCAGAATAGTTTGTACACCTAAACAGGAACAGAAAACAAAAGCTGCTGATTGTGACGGGGGCTCAGCTTTGCAATGATCCAACTATTCAGCTAGGTTTTGTCCCCTGTCTGCAGCATGCTGTGCCTTTGCCCATAAAAGGGTGAGATACACATTGCCCACTGTATCAATGCTCCAAAGTGGAAGGAAAAGAAATTTCTGTCATTACCAAACTGCAGCTTCCCTGAATTCCGCATTTTTACTTAAGCCTCCAAAATGAAAAAAAAAAAGTGCAGATAAAACCAGACCTGATCAGGACAGAAGACAAGAACTTTCAACCTTCAAAATAAGGATGTACAGATGTTTCAATTAAGGCTCAGAAAATGTTTTGCCAAAAGAAAACGTGGCACAAGGTTATAATACACATTTTTACTTCCAGTCTGCTCCAAGACTTGTGTGTGCTTTCTCTTTCCTCTCCAACCCCTTACAGCTTACCACGCTTCATTGCATCAAAGCAAAGTTAGGCACCCAAGTCTCAGGGCTGCACTCAACAGCTGCTCAGGTCCAAGACTACAATGTAAGAGCAGGGAGACACCCAGCCACAGGTACAGAGTGATAACAAGTGGAAACACACAGGAGAAAGACTTGGTGCTTGAGAAATAGCTCCTTTGTTTTCATGAGCAGAAGGAGCATTTTCAGAAGTTACAAAGTAGGCGCTTTTAAACTTCAGTCCCAGTTAAAGTAACTGCAACTTTAATTCTAAAGACACCTGAAAAAGTGACATCAATGCTTCTGAAAGCACCCTGTAAAGACTCCAGCACACTTAGGGGGAAAAGGTTTTCCTAGCTATTTCTCTTTTTTTAAGCTTGGTAAACTCACCTATTGGCATCTCATCCAAAGATGTCCTGGCACTCAAACTAGCCCCATGGGACACAAGCAACTCAGCCATCTGCATCTAAGGAAAGGGAAATAAAGCCGAGTTGATGGAGGTATTTTAGGCAATCCCTTTCCTCCTCAAAGCTGAAAAGTTGGAATAAGATAAGAAGCAATGGCACACATACTCGACTCACCTCAAATTATTCTGGTATATGTGTGATGTTAAACACTGTTCCTACCATTCAACTGCACAACCATACTCTCCCTGAACTTTCTTAGCAACAGGTTCATTTTGGAGACCGAAGGGCCTCATCTAATGCTGTCCAGAGAGTCCAGCCCTAGTACAGACTTCTTCCATTTGCAGAGTACTCCACAATTTGTCCAGGCAGAAAGCACCATCACCTTCATACATGACATTTGCAACAAAATCATTACCTGTCCCCAGAAAGCAGCAGCGTGAAGAGGTTCCCAGCCGTCCCAGTCCTTAACATCCAGGCTTGCCCCCTGGTCAAGAAGGACTTCAGCTGCATGCAAATAACCATTGGCTGCAGCTATATGCAGCTAGGAGATAAGGAACAGAGCATGAACCACTTGCAACAACCATGGTTTTATACAAGTTTCAGTGGAATTTCTTGCATAACATCTAGATCTGGACAGGCAGCACATTTCACATTTGGCAGATGCCATCTGCCTGTCAAAAGCAGGTTGTTCCTGTTACTAAAACTTAGTATTACCTGCATGTAATTCTGTTTGGAGAGGAAACTGCTTAACAGTTCTTAAAATAACTTACACATATAGGTTAGAAAAATAATCTTTTCACATT